TTGAATCTGATCTGATTCTTCTGCTCCCTGAAAATTCGCGGAGCAAATAAATCCTGTTTCAGGTCATATACCGTGTGACACAGGACACATGTAGCAGCCTGTAGTTTTTTCATTTGAAGAGATAAAGTTTTGAAATTCACAGGGGATATATAATAAATGGTAGCGCACTTTACGAACTTAACGACAATTTTTTTCAACCACCTGTTTGACCGGAAGTGACCCCAACTTTTTTTTTAAATATCACCCTGTACATTTCTTCAGTCTATTTTTTTCGCCTTGAAATTTTCTATCCAACCATGTTTCACAAAGTGGCATGTATTCCTTAATTCGCTGTTGAATTGCTTTTTATTCAAAAAGAATAAGTTGGCTGTAACATGAATTCGATGATATATCGACACTTGGTAGGCTTTGAAATTTAAAGATCATTAGTAAACCGATATTATTCAAAATGTTTTGATATTCTGATCAATGTCTGCAGGTTGTCAATAGCTTGTTTGAGTCGAAATGAAAAACCTTCGAAAATAACTCATGATATTGAGGAATCTAAGATAGGAACATATTTTTTCGAATTCAGCTACACGTACAGAAACTATCTGTCATTTATTTTCGCAATGTACCTATGACATGATCTTTCCATTTGGAATAATAGAACTAAAATTGTTTCTCTCATACGATGATCCACAAGGCTATCAGTCAATTTTTTCATAATTATTTCACTTAGTAGGCGGTGTACCTACACGAAATGTTTTATGTGTTTGACAGTTAATCGATTGCATCAATAATTTTTCTTCTTCATTTGTGTGTTGATTAAAATTGCATATTATCAATAGGCGGAAAATGTATTCAAGAAACGAAAAGTCGATATGTTAGTAATATATCTTAGGTTAGGTTACTAGATCTGGTAACATATCCCAGGTTAGGTTACTAAATCTGGTAACATATCTTAGGTTGGGTTACTAGATCTGGTAACATATCTTAGGTTAGGTTACTAAATCTGGTAACATATCTTAGGTTGGGTTACTAGATCTGGTAACATATCTTTGGTTAGGTTACCAGATCTGGTAACATATCCCAGGTTAGGTTACTAAATCTGGTAACATATCTTAGGTTGGGTTACTAGATCTGGTAACATCTTAGGTTAGGTTACCAGATCTGGTAACATATCTCAGGTTAGGTTACCAGATCTGGTAACATATCTCAGGTTAGGTTAGATTAGATTAGATTTAGAATGGGGCCTTCGGGCTATCTGCCTCCACACCGCGACCTTTTCACATCTATTGTGTCTGCCCTCAAAATGGGCTTCTGGTTTTTCCTCACCCAGCGTAAGGAACCTTAGTCTTGACAAGCCCTCACAGTGGCAAAGTATGTATACTGCTGTTTCCTCCTCTTCCTGACAGAACCTGCACAGCAGTTCTTCAGTCAGACCTATCGTACTCATGTGTTTGTTGAGCCTACAATGCCCTGTGAAAAGTCCCACTAGTATTCTAGTTGAACTTCGTTTCTGGCTTAGTAGATATTCTGTGAATGTTGGCGATGGTTTTTTAATAAACTCTTTTGCCTGTCTCATTCCTGGCGATTTGTTCCACCATTCTTGAGATTTGGTTTGCATCCATGATTTGATACTAGTCTTTTGTATAGCTTTCGCAATACCACAGAAGGGTTCTGGGCCATTCAGAGCTTTGTTTGCTCCTGCTCGGGCAAGTGAGTCTGCCTCTTCATTGCCCTCGTACCCTGTATGTGCTGGTACCCATGCTAGAGTCAGTCTGTTCTGACTGCCCAGTGCATTTAGGGTTTCTAAGCAGTCCCATACTAGTTTTGAGTTAACTTGCATAGAGTTGACTGCTTTGATTGCCGCCTGGCTATCTGAATAGATTGCAATGGTTTTGCCTTTAAACTCTTGCCTTATCAATTCTTTCACGCAATGATGTATTGCAATAATTTCTGCCTGAAACACCGTCGCGTATTTACCTAAGCTCAGTGAGATTCTTGTCTTTGGCTTGGCCCCATAAATACCAGCTCCTGATCCAAACTCAGTTTTGGAGCCGTCCGTATAGACAGCAATGTCTGCATTGATAGGAGGTCCTTCCTTCCATGCCTCTCTGTCCGTTATACTTATTTTAAAAGTTTTTTCAAAGCTATATTTTGGAATTATGCCATCCGTTGGCATTCCCATGATGGGGTCGCTTTCCAACTCTTCATATAGCTTTCTATAGTCTTTACCGTGCGCGTTGCTTATGGGTGCTTGACCCCTTGACAATCTACTCACGACTGCTCTGGCTTCGCCTTGAATATATATTTGTAGTGGTGGTAGGTTCAAGAGGACCTCTAAAGCGGCTGTTGGAGTGGTTTTCATTGCACCAGTGGCACTCAGGCAAGCTTGCCTTTGAATAGCACTGAGCCTTCGAATCACTCCAGCCTGTTGTGTCTTTGGCCACCAAACTACTGACCCATATGCTATCATAGGCCTGATGACGCTGGCATAGAGCCATGTGGTCATTTTTGGTTGCAGTCCCCAATTTTTCCCGCACATTCGTCTGCACAGATTGAAGGCTACTGTACTTTTTTGAACAATTTTTTGTAGGTGTTGATTCCATGTTAACTTATGGTCAAAGATGACTCCTAAGTATTTTGCCTCTAGGGTGAACGGAATTTCTACCCCGTTGAGTACTGGTGACTTTAATCCTTCCAGTACTCTCCTTTTCGTGAAATTCACTATAGTGGTTTTATGAGGGTTCACGGTGAGTTCCTCCTCTTTACACCAATTGTCAATTATGTTTAGAGCGATTTGTGTGAGCTCCGAGACCGTACTTGCGAATCTACCTCTAGCGATAACCGCCAGGTCGTCGGCATATCCTAAGCAATAATACCCTTTGGATGTTAGCCTTTTGATCAGTTCGTCCATTAGAATGGCCCATAGTAGGGGCGATAATACTCCTCCCTGTGGGCATCCCCTATCTGCTCTAGCTGTCAGAGTTGTCTCGCCAATTGTGGATATGATAACCCTATTTTTCAAATTGACTTTTATCCACTGGCACAGGAGTAGCGGTACTCCTTTCCTTGCTAGGGCATTAATTATAGAATTTGTTGATGCGTTATTGAAAGCACCTTCTATGTCTACGAATGTTGTTATAGCTATTTCTTTGTCCTCTATCGACTTTGCGAGTAGCCTGTTCAGATCATCCAGTGCTAAGTCAGTTGACTTGCCTGGCTGATACGCATATTGGCGTTCGTTGAGCGGGTTTCTTTGTAATACCTCGTCTCTTATGTATCTGTCTATCAGTCTTTCCAGCGTTTTGAGCAGGAACGACATTAGACTTATTGGGCGGTATGATTTTGGCGTTTTGTCACCCACCTTTCCCACTTTGGGAAGGTAGATGACTGTCACCTTCTGCCATACTATGGGTATATATCGTATTGCTATACAAGCCTTGAATATACGACACAAATGTGGAATTAGTATTTCCTGCCCCTTTTGAAGCAGGATGGGGTATATTCCATCTACTCCAGGGGATTTATAAGGTTTAAATTTATTAATAGCCCACCTAATTCTGTTTGGCCTCGATATCTCTGTAGCTAGCCTCCATTCTATGGCAGTTGGCCTATTAGGCCTGCCAATGGTGCTGTCTGCCACTATCGGCTCATTTAGAATTACTGCTCAGGTTAGGTTACCAGATCTGGTAACATATCTCAGGTTAGGTTACCAGATCTGGTAACATATCTTAGGTTAGGTTACTAAATCTGGTAACATATCTCAGGTTTGGTTACTGGACCTGGTAACATATCTTGGGTTAGGTTACTAGATCTAGTAACATATCTTAGGTTGGGTTACTAGATCTAGTAACATATCATAGGTTAGGTTACTAGATCTAATAACATATCTTAGGATAGGTTACTAGATATTATATTGATAATATGCAATTTTAATCAACACACTAATGAAGAAGAAAAATTATTCATGCAATCGATTAACTGTCAAACACCTAAACCATTTTGTGTAGGTACACCGCCTACTAAGTGAAATAATTATGAAAAAATAGACTGATAAAAGGGATCATCGTATAAGAGGAACAATTTTAGTTCTATTATTCCAAATGGGAAGATCATGTGATAGGTACATGGCGAAAATAAAAGACCGATAGTTTCTGTACGAGTAGCTGAATTCGAAAAAATATTTTCCTATCTTAGATTCCTCGATATCATGCGTTATTTTCGAAGATTTTCATCTTGACTCAAACAAGCTATTGACAACCTGCAGACATTGATCAGAATATCAAAACATTTTGAATAATATCGGTTTACTAATGATCTTTAAATTTCAAAGCCTACCAAGAGTCGATATATCATTCATGTCACAGCCAACTTATTCTTTTTGAATAAAAAGCAATTCAACAGCGAATTAAGAAATAAATGTCACTTTGTGATACATGGTTGGATAGAGAATTTCAAGGCGAAAAAGATAGACTGAAGAAATGTATAGGGTGACATTTAAAAAAAAAGTTGGGGTCACTTCCGGTCAAACAGGTGGTTGAAAAAAATTGTCGTTAAGTTCTTAAAGTGCGCTACCATTTATTATATACCCCCTGTGAATTTCAAAATTTTATCTCTTCAAATAAAAAAACTTCAGGCTGCTACATGTCTCCTGTGTCACCCGGTATAGCAACTTGCTCCAGTCAAACGAACATTCAATCATCAATCGCTCTGAACAAACGAACATCAAATATTGCTCACATCACTTTTTAGCAGGGTGAGCATGACAAACGAACAGGCCTGAGATTTTTCAGTAGATCAGTAGATCACTGATCGATATGCAAATCAAGACGTCTGCGGACGAAGAGTACTTGCCTTCGGGAGTAGTCGGTTTCTCGTTCGGAAGTTAGAACTGAAGATGTGATTTTTTGTAGAGGTTGACGAAAAATATCGTTTTATGCATAATTAGTTCAAATTGACTCGTTTTTTTGCGTGAATGCTCTCATATTCATGTTCGAATGTTCCTGTTGCAGACATCTTCAAGGGCTATTTGTGCTTCGTGGTGTCCATAGTGTGCATCGGAGTGGTGACAGCTGTCATAGGGGACGTCGCTTCCCATTTCGGCGCCACGCTCGGCATCAAGGACTCCGTCACCGCCATAGTGTTCGTCGCTTTAGGAACCAGCATTCCAGGTACACTACGTTAATACTGCACCGAAGTGTTTTTTTTTCGATAGCATTCAACGATTTATTACTTTTTCTCTCAATACGCAGGGACCTCCAAGCTGTCGTTCATGACTTTGACGTGATATCGAAATCAACCTAGCATCCAACCATCCATTTTGTTCACACATCTGCGTTTTGCTTAGATCAAGTCGTTGAGAAAAAGGAATGAAGCAAATTGCAATTCAAGTGATATTATTTCGTTCTGAACGGACATATTCTCTACATGCATTCTATCTGATCAAAGTATTTCGAAAGAACGCATATTAACTGATTCTCACCTCTAGTGAAATACAGTGTGTCCCACTTACCATGCTCACCATGGGTATCTTTTTAACGGTGAGAGATACGAGGTCGGTTAAATGACACCAAATATGGAGTTTGTCAAGGCCAACTATTATGTGAAAAATTATTTTGATAAAATCTATTCGTTTTTGTTTTATTCGCAAAAAACAGATTTTGATCATTTTCATGTCTCCTCCGTAACTTCTTTATTTATGAAAATATTCAAATAGGAATTCCACATTCTCATGGCAGTTTTTCAAAGTGATTTCGAAAAAAATATGGCATTTATACCAACTCCTCTAGAATTTGAGATATCAGCACCAACTTTAGTTTTTCAAATGTAGGACATAGCTCACTATGACTTAGTTTCAAATAACTTTTTTTTCTCTTACAGATGATATGTCGCAGTAATAGTTTTGTGTTGATAACAACGGAGTTATCGTAATTTATACAAAAACAAAAAATTATTTGGGAGCCGCCATCTTGAATTTATGAATTTCAAAGAAAAAATCATGATCTTCGACCTCAAAAACTCCCACTTACCAATTTTGAACCGAATCGGACCAAATCTTGTCCGCCATCTTGGAGCAGCCATTTTTTTTAATTTCAACAAAAATTCCATAACTCCGATTACCTTGAAATTTGGCAGGTGTTCATAATTTCGGTGACAATACATTATGGAATTTTTGTTGAAATTAAAAAAATGGCTGCTCCAAGATGGCGGACAAGATTTGGTCCGATTCTATTCAAAATTGGTGAGTAGGGGTTTTTGAGGTCGGAGATCATGATTTTTTTGTTAAAATTTATAAATTCAAGATGGCGGCTTCCAAATAATTTTTTGTTTTCGTATAAATGACGATAACTCCGTTGTTATCAACACAAAACTATTACTGCGACATATCATCTGTAAGAGAAAAAAAAGTTATTTGTAACTAAGTCATAGTGAGCTATGACCTACATGTGAAAAACTAATGTTGGGGCTGATATCTCAAATTCTAGCTGCCATGAGAATGTGAAATTACTATTTTAATATTTTCATAAATAAAGAAGTTACGGAGGAGACATGAAAATGATCAAAATCTGTTTTTTGCGTATAAAACAAAAATGAATAGATTTTATCGAAATATTTTTTCACATTATAGTTGGCCTTGACAAACTCCACATTTGGTGTCATTTAACCGACCTCGTATCTCTCACCGTTAAAAAGATACCCATGGTGAGCATGGTAAGTGGGACACACTGTATTTCAGTTATTTTATATCGAAAGAATGTCACTTTTATCAATAAAAAAACGAGATTTTGGAGATAACGATCCCAGAATTTTTGGGTCGAAAAATCTCCCGGGATCCCGGATTGGAAATCCCGAAAATATCTGAATTCAAGGAAGCATCAAAATAGATCACTGCATTAAAACAAATTAAGAAAATATTCTATTTCATATTTCATACGCTGTGTCTGAACTGCCATCCTGAAAAACCTTTTTGTTAACGAATATTTGCCTAATTCACAGTTGCTACTGTGAATTAGGCAGAAGAAACTTGTTTTGAATATCTTCTGATTTACAGTTGCAACTGTAAATTAGCACTAATTTACAGTTGCAACTGTAAATTAGGCAGAGAAAACTTTTTTTCAGAACACCTAATTTACAGTTGCAACTGTAAAGTAGGAAATATTGAAAAAGTTTTTCTGGGATGACAGTTCAGAGTTGTCGTAATTTCAGATGATTAAATTTGTCGTACAGATACGTTCGCTAGCAAAGTGGCTGCAATCCACGACGCTCACGCCGACGCCAGCGTCGGAAACGTGACGGGCAGCAACGCCGTCAACGTCTTTCTCGGCATCGGCGTCGCCTGGTCCATCGCCGCCCTTTACCACCACTTCAACGGAAAAGTCTTCCTAGTCGATCCCGGCAAGTAAGTATTAATTAAAGGTTCATTCGAGTTCGAACTATTACTGTTCTAGAACTGTCAGGAGTTTGCGCAGTAAAATCGGTCGCGTTCGGGTTTTGTGGAACTGTTCTAGGACCTCTAGGACTGATTCTTTACGCTTTCGGGTTTTTTTAGAATCATCCTGGGACGGTGCTGAAACTATCCGAAACCGGTACCTGCACTCGAGCATGAACCGTTCTATACCTTTTCAACTTCAATTTCGGAATCGGTAAGTTATATTTCGGAAAAAGTAATCTCGATTTCAAAATTGGTTAGTTCGATTTCAGAAATGGTAAACTCAATTTCAGAATCGGTGAGATGAATTTCAGAAAAAGTCCATTCAATTTCAGAAATGGTAAGTTGTATTTCAGAATTATTATTGGTAGGTTCAATTTCAGAAGATGAAATCCATTTATATGTTTGAAATGTTTTTAATTGCAAAAGAGAAGACTGTTTACAGTGGATGGAACGGTGTTTGAGAGCCCTATGTTGAATCAGATTGAACATATTATATGGGGTGCCTTCAAGTCAGAAGTGAAGAGCTTCTTGCAAGAACATCGCCAAAGGGTCATAGCTGGAGATCCGAACAGATTGCTCAACCAGATAGAATTCAGACTGCGATGTCTTGAAGAATGTGCAGATCATTCAATGAACATGATAACACCTCAAATGTGTTTGCATTCTTATAATCATGTTCAACGCCACTATCTTCCAGCGATTCAGATGGAAGGCATCTGTGGATTAAATTGTTTTTGAAAATTTGAATATTTTAAATATGGTTTGTTAATCTCACATGCAATTGGAAACATTTCGAACAAATATAAGGATTTTTTTTATGATATTGAACCTACCAATTCTGAAATATAACTTACCATTTCTGAAATTGAATGGACTTCTTCTGAAATTCATCTCACCGATTCTGAAATTGAGTTAACCATTTCTGAAATCGAACTAACCAATTCTGAAATCGAGATTACTTTTTCCGAAATATAACTCACCGATTCCGAAATTGAAGTTGAAAAGGTATAGGATCATTTTTGGAGTTAGTACATTCATTTGATAGTAGTAGTTCTTCATCTTCAGGAAGCAGTGGTGAAGGATTTACTTGCTGAAGTTGCTAAAAATATTGTACCTAATCTGATAATTCTCGAATTTTTGTTAGATTAACCGAAAAATGGAGGATTATGCTGGGGAGACTTTGCCATTATCTTCAAATACACAATTCATTGAACATTTCAGGTGGGTGTCGAAATTCATATAGGTACAAGGGACAAAACATATTGAAAATCTAGCTACGAATGCAATGATGAAATATATTCACCATTCCCCCACAGAGAGTTTGAAGCTTCAGAATATTATTCGAATAAAGATACAGGTTCCAAACTATTGTTTTTTTCGCGATACCTGAATAGAGTTTAGAGTTTATGTTCTCAGAGGTTCTCTTCTGCCGCGTTCGGGTTTTCATAATTTGTGAACCGTTCTGAAACAATCCTAGGATTCGAAACGACTGCGACTTCAGGTGAAATACTGGTATATAACATAGATCTGTGTAATGTATATAATGAACTAAGTTTGCATTGGCTTGCCTATTTTTTATATCGTACTTTCCCAACCCAAAGGATTATAGAGGACCCCGTGAAGTTTTATGGTGAATTGGGTCCCGATGGATTTTTCTCAATTTTTGGTATGATGTAGTTTATGTGGTTCTATAAAATATTTTCATCGAGCCAACCCTCAAAAATGGACAGTTAGATGGAATTTTTTTTTCGGTTTTGAAAATAGGGGTTGGGGGTAATAATTCCCCTACAATATATTTTTTTATGAAGAATCTCTTTTTAGAAGTAATTAAATGAAATAAGAAGTTCGTTCATTTCCTCAGAAATAAATGGTCAATGGGCTTATATCACAAAAAAAATTTATTTCATAATTCGATAGAACTCACCCAAACTAGCTCACCACCGCAAACCGTTTCTTGCTGTGAGCTCCCTAAGTTTTATTAAAGATTATTGAAATCCCCGATTTTTCGGACCTCTGAAAACGAGGCGATGATGTGACGTCAAAGCCCTAATACTGAAACAAGACTATTCCAGATAGAGATGAATGATACATGATTTCTGACAGAGTGAATTAGCGCGAGATCACAGTTGAAAAAATTAATATATCAGTTGCCTCAGTCTCCGTCGGGCGTTTGGTATTTTCTTTTAACTATGGCGAGATGAGGTTTCTACGTCATAAGAGGGTCCGTTTTCAGAAGGTACTATTATTTATGTCCAAAAATAAAACATTCCAGTTAATTTTTTGATCGAATTATGTCGTCATTATTTATGTATAATAGGATCATTATAAACATGGTTTGAGTTAAAAGTTCCACTAAGGTGTGCACGCCCATTCGATCAAAATGTGAAATCAAACCCCCCTGCCAAAAAAACTGTCCATTTTTGGGGGTTGGCTCAATGGAAATACTTTATGGAATCACATGAACTACATCATACCAAAAATTGAGAAACATCCACCGGAACCTAATTTACCTTAAAAATTTGCTGCCGGATTGCTAGCCTCGGCTAAGGCCTCGGCTATCAATTTGCAGACTCGACTATAATAGACAGTGGTGTGTCCTTGGTACATAATAGTAGATTGTTTTATTAGGATCAAAAGTGACACTTTGTTTGACAAGCGAATTTTGCATTTGCGAGGCGGAGCGTTTAGCGAAGCCGAGCGAAAGCAAAATTTGCGAGTCGAACAAAGACACTTTTGCAACCGTAACAATTAACTCAAATAAACATGTGAAGTAACCACCAATGCCGTGCCATATGTATGCAATGCAACAAAAAATATTGACAAATAATCCATGTGGTGAGAATATTCTATACCTGCACTAACAGCAGGTTAGGTTTTCTAGGATGTTCGAATTGTAGTTTCAATATAAATACAACCATACAGATTGACATATTTTTGTATGGACCAGGTGCTCTAATGGCGAATACCGCGCCAGTGCCAGCTATACAGGAACTAGACGTGGAAAATGTTAGGTTAGTGAGCATATCAACAATGATAATAGTGATTATTTATTCCTCTCCATACTACACGGTGTTTGACTTGCGATAATCAAATGAAGCTAAACAATATCGTTGTTTGAGACAAAAAAACGATTGCTTGCCGTGATTATTCAAAAACAAGTTCTCCATCCCGAGAATAACGAATGAAATACAGATCAAGCAAGTATTTGAATCTTGAAGGCTTCCCTGATCAAAACAAAAATACTTAACTGAGATGTTTATAATTCCAATACTAAACTATGATGAGGTGTATTTATATCTCTAGCATGGGTATGAAATGCCAAATCTGCTGAAATCGGAAACAAATCAGGTATATATATGCGTCTCAACCCAAATAACGAACCATCACAATGTTGTTCATTCTTGATGACGCCCAGTAGATCCTTTTTAGTTCATAGGAGCTAAAGTTCAATTTTAGCTCCTAGGAACTAAAATTCAACTTTAGCTCCTAGGAACTAAATATGTTGCCTAGCAACATACCTATTTTTGTGGCAGTAATAGAAACGTCAATTTAAGAGCTAATTTTGGTATCAAAATGGACGACTTTTGTGTCGGTTGCAGAAAAATAACTATTTTATACTCAGAATAACACCAGAGCTCGAAATAAAGTAAAAATGTGAAAATGTTGAAAAATCGTGGAATCTGCTGTAGTGCCTTGGCGCTGAACGTGCTAAGAACGACAATGATTCAACCCAGCAATTTTCACTAAAATCTGATTGTTTCTAGCCTCGCATTTTCCGTGACGATTTTCTGTTCGGGAGCCGTCCTGGTCATCGTCATTTTGGTGCTGAGAAGATCGAAATACATAGGCGGAGAACTGGGAGGGCCGGTATGCATGAAATACGCCACCTCGGCAGTACTGTTCAGCTTTTGGATATTTTATTTGGTCATGTCGACGCTGGAAGTGTACCACGTCATACCCGGATTTTAAGATGATTTTGTTTTCTTTCTTTTTTTTTTCAAGTTCCGAGAAATGCTCGAATTGGGGCGGTCTGTGAAATCAGATTGAACGAGGGTGATGAATGCATGGTATGATGAATTCCTTTGATTCTAATAGTTTTGAATCGAGTCGTACTCTTCCGCGGCGATATTCGTTTCGTTATTGTAGAGTTTATTTTGAATATAATCATGAATATTCATTGGTGCCGCCAGGATTACATTCACCAATACCAGACAAGAATTAAAGATGTTACAGGGCGATCAATTAGGCTTCATCTCGTAAGTTTTCATTCAACAATTCCCAACTTTAAATTCTTCTATGAATTTTTTTGCCAGGGGGGTGCAAGTGCACCCACTGGTACCCTGCAGCGGGCGCCCATATACAGGATGTCCCAAAATTGCTTGTAGACACAGAACTACCACATGTAATACTGGTAAAAATAAGTTAGTTAGACCAAGTTTATTTATATAACAAAATGTACTGTTTGTCCGTGAGACGAGTTCAAAGTTTACATGTACGCTGTTCAAAAATGAGTGAAACAAATTGGATGAAATTTGACAAAAGTGCATTCTAGAGGATAACCCTCCTTTCGGTAATCAAAGGAAACCAAAAGAAATTTTAGAAGTGTTGAAACCACCCTCGCCCCCTGACATTTTCTTCAAAACATTCTCAAATTTCCTAAGCGAGATAACTGATTGATCATCTTCAATTTGTTACTCTTGTGAAAGTTTCGTATTCCGCATAGTTCCGAAGGAAAAAAATGTTTTCTTAAATAATGCTAGCAGAGGTTCCTAGTGAAAAGTCAATATCATGCATTATAATAAACAATTGTTGACAGTGGAAACAAAGGCAGAACGTTTGCTTCAATTAATGTTCAATATGACGCCCACCTTTATCAATACAAATGTCAATTCCTTTGTTTTCACTGCCAACTAATTTTGTATTACAATCTTATCAAACTTTTACTTGGAATGTTTGTTATAGCATTATTTAAGAAAACATTTTTTTTCTTCGAAAGTATGCGGGATACGAAATTTTAACAAGAGTAACAAAATGAAGATAAGTATTCAGTCATTTCGCTGAAAAAATCTGATAACCCTATTACCACCTCTAAGAATGTTCTGTTGAAAATGTGAGGAGGTGAGGATGGTTTCAACCCTTCTTTCGGGTTTCTTTGATTTCTGAAGGAAGGGCTATCCTCTAAAATGCACTTTTGTCAATTTGTTTCTCTCATTTGTGAACAGCGTACAAAAATGTGTTTTTATGTAAACTTTGAACTCGTCTCACGGACAAACGGTACATTTTTTCATATAAATAAGTTGGGTTCAATCGACTCATTTTGAACTGTATCACACGTGTTAGCTCTGTGTCACATCCACTAAGCAAATTTGGAATTTATGTTGATGCAGGGTTGTAGCAATTGGTGAAAATTTGTGAATGTAACGTTCCAGCAATGTCCCAGTAACATGTAATATTGCTGCAACGCTACATCATTATCAAACTCCAACTTTGCAATTTGCTGAACGTCCGATACAGTGATTGCTTGAACATTGCATCAACATAGATTTCAACTTTGCTTAGTGGGACACCCTATATATCATGAATATTCAACATAATTCAATAATCAAATACTAAAAGTGTCGTACTCAAGTTTTATTAACAAATACTGTTACTCAAAGAGTGGTTCCAAAATTGTATACATACAATAAAACCATTCGATTATCCTTTTTCCGCAATTTATTTATTCCATAAAGTTGACGATATTTTTCGAAAAAATGAACTGATGAAGAAATTACGATTCTACTTCAAAACTTATGAATTTGAAATCCTTTCCACCCTATATACAAGTAGGTACTGAAATAGAACAGCGAAGTTTCAATTTTTATATGTTTTTTTAGCATAGCAACATTTTCTCTTCAGAAACTATTCGATATTTTGAATGTATATTACGTATGAGTTTAGCTTTGATCGTAATTTGTTTAAGGCTTTGTCGACTATCGAATCCTTGATCGTTCCTATAGGAAACAATTCAAAAAAATCATGAAGAAATGTAGAATTTGAAATTGAAAGCTAAATAGTACCTGCCAAGTCTGAAATATGTTTTCATAGAATAATCTAGCATTCCATTAACTTAGACTGTAATTAAGATATTTGTTTGAATGGGCTTTGTGAGATTTTTGGGTAAATATGTATTAGGGACTCAACATCGATATATTCTTTTTCATTAAGTAATAAATATTTTATTGATGTCCAATTGGGTCGATCTCAAATTTTCGATACACCTCGTCAAATAATATTATGTCTAGATAAGTTAAGATTGAATGGTCAATAATTTATATCGACGTTACTTTGGATTCGCCTAATGTATAGTCAATTATTTTTTTATTGAATTCACTGCAGATATTTGCCTGATAAAAAATGTTGTTGTAGCTAGGACAAAAGATTATACAGGGTGTATGTAAAAGGTCTTTACAAAAACATACCACATATTCCTTAGACCAGAATAAGTCGATTTAAGTAAAATTACCTTAGTACAAAGTTGCATCGTTTGGGCTCCAGAGGGCCTTGAAGTTACAATTTTTAAATCGTTTTCCCCATGTAAATTTGAAACGGCATATGCGATTTTGCTGAAATTTGGTATATTGATAGAGTTTAATGTGGCAAAAAAAATGGAGTTAAAATTTTGTTCGATGATAATACATAGGCGTAGAACTTGATTTTTTAAATAATTGCACCTATGAAAATTCTACGCCAACGGAAGAAAAGGAGTTTGAGTATGAAATTTAGATTGCGCAACTCATTTACTTTAAAAAAGGTACTCTTGATAAGACTCGATTGCTCTCATGGTTTTGACGGAATTTGCATTTTAGTAATTTTAGAACATAAACAATAATCATTCAAATACAAACTTTGCAAAACCATGAGATTAAATCGAGTGTTATCAAGGGTACTTTTTTGTAGTGAATGAGTACCCATTCCAAATCTCATACTCAAACCCCTCTTCTGCCATTGACGTAGAATTTTTAAAGGTGCAATTATTTAAAAAATTAAGTTCTATGCCTATGCATTATTATTAATTTTCTTCGACGTATAAATCTTTGTATGCGTGAAAATGTTGAACACTTTGAACAATTTTTGTGAAATCTCTATTTATTTTGATTATGTTGTGAATAAATATTTTCGTGAAACCTATACACTCTAAATTATTAAAACAGAAACAGACAACCATGAGAGTAATCAAGTCTCATCAAGAGTACCTTTTTTAAAGTAAATGAGTTGCGCAATCTAAATTTCATACTCAAACTCCTTTCATTCCATTGGCGTAGAATTGTTGAAGGTGCAATTATTAAATAAAAATTTTTTGCCACATAAAACTTCATCAATATACCAAATTTCAGCAAAATCGCATATGCCGTTTTAAATTTATATGGGAAAAACGATTTAAATATTGTAACTTCAAGGCCCTCTGGAGCCCAAACGATGCAACTTTGTTCAAAGGTAATTTTACTTAAATCGACTCATTTTGGTCTGAGGAATTTGTGGTATGTTGTTGTAAAGACCTTTTACAGACACCCTGTATTTGGAAACATTATTAAGTGTTATCGTACCAATCGAGGGAAACAAAGTTTGTATGATGAAAATATTTGAAGGACTCAAGAATTCGTTTCGAGTAGAAAATTTTCGATTTGCACTCAAGAAATGGTAATAAAATTGCTCATATCCATGAATTCAATATGAATGAATCCCAGTTATTTTTTATAAGCACATTAGGTTACCAAGAAAAAAAATTACATGTGAATTTTTAGGTAGGACCAATGTTATATTCCTGAAAAAAAAAAACGCTGCACTTTTGAAGTTCTCATCATGCAAAGGATTATGGTGTATCCGATATACATATCAAAATCAGAATTATGTATTATTACTAAGTGAATTGAATGAAATGTATCATTACAATAGGTAGAATGATTTAGAATTATTTTCTAAATAATTTTGGGATGGAAAGTACAGGGTGTACATTTGAAAATGATAAATGTTCTCAGTAGGTGCGAAAAAATTCAGGGCTCGGCAGGAATACGGAAATGCTTTTTTATTGTAAATCATTTCCAGACAAAAATCTTAATAATAATGTGTATTTAGCTGATATTTACGAGAATAAAATGTTCAACTCATGAAATGAACGAAACTATTCCTGGGATTTGTACCTAAAAATTCACTGTTCTATACAGGGTGTTTCAAAAAAACCTGACCACCTTGCTAGGGTGGGTAGAACACTGCAAAATAAGTTGGGTTTGCTCGGTAAAAAAATGTCGTAACAATATAAAAGGCGTTGAAAACATGTTTTTTCTACACATTTTTTATGAATATGTCGAAAATTCCGAAAACATTGTAATGAAATTTTGTATGAATACAGTGTGTCCCAAATTCGATCCTCATCATTGGGATCTCAGTAACTATAAGAGACAGAGAAACGGTTAAATTAGCAAAGTTGTAGCAAATTCAATGTTGAATCAGAATCTATCAAGAAATCCAGGCTAGCTTCAGTCATTCTTGAGTTATTTGAGAAAAGATGAAATCTTGTATTTTTGTGTTTCTCGAATATCTCGGAAACTATTGATTTTATGAAAAAATGATGCCAACATTCTTATAGCACTTTTTGGTGTTCTTTTCAATGGTTTTGTCAGTTTTCCATCAAAATGTCAAATTTCTGAGATATCTTGGATGCCGTTATGAAATTTTTTTTGATGAACTTATTTCGCAGTATTCTACCTAACCTAGCAAGGGGGTCCAGTTTTTATAAACACCCTGTATTACTTCTTGGTTCATATAATTATTAAGCAAAAATAGCTCAAGAAATAAGAAACGAATTCCCGAACTCCTAGAACAAAACTGAAGTAAGTCTAGTCATTATAGATAGGAATATTATAGAGGGCCTTTGAGGCTTTCAAATAGTGTTTTGTATGGAACGAATTCATGTCTTTGAACAAAGAAGT